ACTGGACTTGCAGCAGTACAATAGCACCCACGCTGGAATGTCCCAGCTAACTCCCCACCCCTGGTCTCCTGGGCAGTGGCTGCACTGTACATACCCTCTGCAAGGCCCTGCTCTAGAGCCCTGCCAAGGCGTTGATTCATACCAGTTGGGCAGCTCGTGGGAGGGAAGAGGGGGTGGAGGTGACGGGCACAGCCACAGGATCTCACTGGGGCCTGACAGAAGCCTAAACAAACCCCACTGTGCCCTCGCTGGAGCCTTTGGCTTGGAATGGTGCCCCTGTCTCTCAAAGCATCAATATTCAGGTCTCCTGGGCCCAGAGACCCAGTTTGGTGGCCACACCTCCTCAGCCCCCTGGATGCTCAGTGAACACACTTCCCTGTTACCATGATCCCAGGTTGTCTGTCTTACTCTCCCATTTTACAGCCAGGAAACCGAGATTGTGCTTAGAGGTTAGTGAACCCAGGTCATCTGACTCCACATGCAGTGCTCTCTTCATGGGCTTCACCCCCACTTGGCATTTGGCAGAATCTTGTTTCTGTTTTATGCGGCAAAGTTGCCTGTCTACCATTACAGCATTGACTGCCTAAAGGCAACAGATACCCCAGCATATCTTCATAACAGCATTAGGCCCTAATAACCCTCAGTAAATACTAATACTTCTCTTGACTGTCACATGTCACCAGCTCATACACATATAGTCATGGCCCCAAATTAATAACTTGTGAAAATTCTCCCCAAATGACCAAATCAAAAGCACCTCTCCTTTCCTTCTTTGTTTGCAGTCAGAGACGTGGGCAAGTTCTGTTGGGTGTGCCTGTGAGTTAAAACTGGAAGACCAGGCTCTGGATGGCAGTGAGAGGTGGTAACTGAGGTGGGCTTCCTCTGGGTACTGACAGAGGTGCTGGACGTGGGGGTGGGGCAGGTGCTGAACAGGGCCCTCCAGCTTCCAGGTGGGCTCTCCCAGCCCCTTTTCCGAAACTGGAATCCTGGAATTTCCAAACTTGGTTTTGAGGTTTTTTGTTTTTTTTAAGAGACAGGGTCTCACTCTGTCACCGAAGCTGGAGTGCAGTGGCGTGATTATAGCTCACTGCAGCCTCAAACCCCTGGGCCAAGCAACCCAGCTTGGGAGGAGTCTCAGCCTCCTGACTAGCTGGGACTACAGATGCACGCCACCATGCCCCACAAATTTTTTTTTGTAGAGATGGAGTCTTGCTATGTTGCTTAGGCCAGTCTTGAACTCCTGGCCTCAAGTAGTCCTCCCACCTTGGCCTCCCCAATTGCTGGGATTACAGGCATGAGCCATCATGCCTGGCCTTCTTTGATGTCTTTGACAATTTTTTTTGGCTTCATTTTGACAAGAAGCAATGTTCTCTTATTCCCTATCAGAGCTACCGATCATTAACACTAGATTGTGAAATGCAGATATCACCGGCAGAGTCTTTCATTTTATTTTTGTTTATTGTTTTTAAAGACAGGGTCTGGCTGTCACCCAGGTTGGAGTGCAGCGGCACAATCATAGCTCACCCCAACTCAAGCTCCTGGGCTCAAACGATCCCCCTGCCTCAGCCTCTCCAGTAGCTGGAACTACAGGTGCAAGCCACCACACCTGGCTAACATTTTTTGTAGAGATGGAGTCTTGCTATGTTGCCCAGGTTGGTCTCGAACTCCTGGTCTCAAGCAATCCTCCTGCCTCCGCCTCCCAAAGTGCTGGGATTACAGGCATAAGCCACCTCACCCAGCCGCCAGCAGAGATTTAATCTTAAGGGGCACAAACCAGGAAGTCTATTCTGACAATGCAGAGGATTTTACCGTCTAGCTGGGGTGAATAAGCACTACTACAGGGTTTCTACTATTTCCTGACCTAAACCCCTCTACCACCTCTCACCTCATTTTTCAGACTTAGGACCTTCTGATTTTTCCTAAAAGCCCCAAGGCTGTGGCCAGGCGCGGTGGCTCACGCCTATAATCCTAGCACTCTGGGAGGCCAAGGCGGGCGGATTGTTTGAGCTCAGGAGTTCGAGACCAGCCTGAGCAAGAGTGAGACCCCCCGTCTCTACCAAAAATAGAAAGAAATTAATTGGACAGCTAAAAATATATAGAAAAAAAATTAGCCGGGCATGGTGGCGCATCCCTGTAGTCCCAGCTACTTGGGAGGCTGAGGCAGAAGGATTGCTTGAGCCCAGGAGTCTGAGGTTGCTGTGAGCTAGGCTGACGCCACGGCACTCACTCTAGCCCGGGCAACAAAGTGAGACTCTATCTCAAAAAAAAAAAAAAAAAAAGCCTCAAGGCTGTGCCTGCTGTATCTGAGGAAACCAGAAACATGGCTTTAGGCTCTTCTGAGACTTGCTGCCAGGCTCTCTGGCAGACTCACCTTGCCACCAACCTGAGAGGAACAGACTGCCAGGTTATAAGAACTCTCTTCCAACCTCTGGGTGCAGAGCAGACCTAGAAGGAGGTGACACATAGTAGGTAGGTATCCAGTAAACACTTGTGGAATAAATAAATTTAGCTGCCTCTTCTAGTGGGTTAGCATGTCTCCTGATGACAGCTTTCCACAGGAACAGCTCTTGGTTGTGCTGGTTAGGACTGGTGTGTAGCCTGTACATGCTGATTTCAGTTTGCCTCATTTTCACAGGCACATGGCACGATTGGCCATCAGATCTCCAAATGTAAATCTACCATGACCAAGCAGGTGTTTTACTGAGTCCCTGCCACATACCCCAGAGCCATCTGTTTTCCCCCGTCCATTGTTATTTTCTTAGACAAAATTTGATTTTAGCAGCAGCGATGTTTCTTCTGAGCTCTGGATATAGCCCTTAAAAATTAATTTTAAGCATGTAATAAAATATTCATATACAATATTCTATATGCAAATGAGCAAGTGGATGACTCAAACATGTCATTCCTATTTTGAGCTGAAAACAGAATTTAGGCCGGGTGTGGCAGCCTGTGCTTATAGTCCCAGCTACTCAGGAGGCTGAAGTGGGAAGATGCCTGAGCCCAGGAGTTAAGAGGTTACAGTGAGCTATGATTGCACCACTGTACTCTAGCCTGGGTGACAGAGTGAGACTCTGTCTCTAAACAATAAAAAAAGTGAAAGCCAGGCCGATCCCATCGAAAGAATGCCTCAACATTTCTGGCTTCCCTCTAGTGAGCTCAAGAAAAGCTGCAGTCCTGGGAGCAGCCTGAATCCTGGAGACCAGCAAACCCCCAAGGAGCCTTCCCCAGCCCAGGCAGCCCTCTCGCAATAGCTGACACTAACCTAGAAAAGCAACATTCCATCTGCAGTCCAACTTGAACCCCCTCCCCCAAAGGAATGCTATTCTTGGCAAGGATCTTCCAAAGGAAATAACATCTGCAGAACCTCTGTCCATAAGGTCAAGGGAAAGCTGAGACAGATGAAAACGTTTCAGTCCTTAGATCCAAGTCACGGGGGCTTGACAAAGGGGCAGGTTGAGAGCAAACCTAACAGCCAGGGCAGAGGCCTCTGTGTCTTCACATCCTCCCAAGTTCCGCAGCAGCCTCACTGTGTCCTGCAAGGTTGGAGAGCTCCCTGTTTACCTGGCTGCTCAAGCAAACCAGACATCAACTAGGTGCCCTTAACAGCTACACAGATGGAACTTGTAACTGAGCCACATCCAATCACTGAAAGTTCTTAAACACCTTTTGTAGGGCCTGAAGCAACATCTACGAACAAGACAAAATTCCTCCTCTCAGCATATTCAAGCCCCATTTCCTGCTCTGGCACTCCAGTGCTTGTCAGAGCCCTTCCTCTTACGGAGAACAAGCAAACTGATGGATGGACTTGCAGAGGAAACCCAGTCGCGGCAAGTTTTTCTTTCTTACATAACCCCCTACTACTATAGAAAGAACATGTATTTCAGTCTAACCTGAGTTAGGAGAGGACAGGAATAGGGAACCGTTGCTCAAAATATTTATGGTGAGTTTCTCAGACTACTAAATGTCAACACCATACAAATGGATTTAGGGCCACAGGACAAAATGAGCCCTGAAATCAGGCTTTCCAAATGCAAATCCATGAGCTCAGTGAGGAAAAAAAAAAAAAACATGTTATTTAAGGATTCAACTCCTGGCAAAACCTGGGTGGCTACTGACTGATCTAAAACCAAGTCATGACTAAAGAGATATTCGGTTTCAAGGGAAAGAACCCTCCTCTCTGAGCTGATCAGTCAGACTGTGTCTCACTACTACCATTCCTGATTCGCGCCCAGTGCTAGCCATCGAGAATCTGCTCCATTTAGGTGGCTGAGCACATGCAGACGAAAGGCTTTTCTTTGTGAAGTACTGAGAAGAGCAGTGAGCTCAGCTTCTCCAGGTTCAATGTGACTGAAGGAGTGCCTGGAAGATTAGGGTTTCCCACACAGCGAAGCAAGAGCAGGAATTCCCAGGTGTGGGCTGGAACACTTCTGAAACTGGGCCACTTATGGCTGACAGGCTCTCGGCGCTCCCTCCTTACATCCCAAAGGCCCTCAGGAACCCACCTGAGATGTGTGCTGCAGAGTCAGCCGCTTCCCCCTTAAACAGGGCCCATATATACTGACCGTCCCAAGGGCAGTCAAGTATCCGGATTCTTCTGTACTTACTGACCCTTCCTAGTAGTCATGGCGCCAAAGATCTTCTGAGGAGTTATAGACCCATCTGTTAAATTGGAATTCATGCTAAACCCCTCATTCCAAGATCTCAGAGTAGAAGGACGCTAAAACAGGAAGAAAAATTAGCCACCCTTCATCAGTATCCAATGGGAAGAGGAGTGGATGTCCACATGGTTATTGAGCCTAAGTTTCATCAGCAGAGCATGAAGAATCAGGAAAAGCCAAAGAAATCATCACAGGGCTGGGAGTTGAAGGCCACAGGCTTTCAGAAGCCCAGGTAGATGCCTGGAAAGGAGGAGTATACTCATTTCCTCTTGGTCCAACTCGGGCTCAAATCTCCCACCTAAATTCTCATCCCCAGAAAAAGACACGTGGATGTCTGCCACCTTAAAAACTAGGTTTATGTTTCCGGTTAGGTTCCAGAGTGGTAGAACTCAGGAGCTATAATCTATCCAACCTGGTGCCACCTTAGCTTGCCTCCCTCCCTCCCGCAGAGATAACATTGTACAAAACTATATTTACAGGAAAAACAGTTAAAAATTAAGGACGTGTACAAAATTAGACAAGAGCCAGAAATACCAATGCAGGGACGGCTGTGGGGAACAGGGCACATCGTGTTCCACACTGGAACCTGGGGTGATGTATTACATACTAGGTGAGGAGAAGTGTAGCAAATCTCAGTGCCAATTTTAGGGGAAACCAGTCATTCCGCGGTGAGGGGAAAGAGCTACTGGCTTTCATATTGCAAAGTCTTAATTATCCAGTCACACTTCTTCTGCCATATGGCAGAAGCCAGGTGGTGGTGATGGTGGTGGGGGAAATAAAACACAGTCTCTGGCAAGCCCCACAGGTAAAGGGGGGACTCAGAAGGCGTAAAGGGGGGACTCAGAAGGCATAACGGGTCCGGATATCTTCAAGCTTCTTGGATACCTCAGGTGGGGTTCGGTCTAGTTCTTCAGAGACATTCTTTTGTTTGTTGGGCTCCATGGAGTTGAACTGCTCACAGAGGTCTCCATCAATCACATTCTAAGACATGGAGAACAGAAGAAGGAAAAGAAAATGGTGCAAAATAAGGAACAAACACTGTAGTGAAAGCTTTTTATTCTCCCCCAGAACCCCATTTGTAGAGCCAGGAATACTATTCTAAGTTGACCCCTAGTATTGAGAGTTCAGGTTGGCAGAACTGGTGAAGCTTTCTCTCTGGCTGTGGTCTGTCCGGAGGGAAGAGGACTCTGAACATTAAGTATCACTGACCATACCCCCCAGTACTGCTTCCATCAATCCACTCCCTTGCTGTTCCTTCACTCAGGACTGCCCCACTCTTTTCTCAGACGGAGGCCCAGAGAAAAGACCAGATGAAATGGGTTGAGGATCTTCCTTCCCAACCCAGATTCCCTCAACCTACCTTAACAGGGAAATAATAGGAACGAAAGCTGAGGTGGTCCCGCCCACAGAGAGGGGGATGCTCAGATCTCAGATGCATTTCCACATGCTGGAAGAAGTCATGGTCCTAGTGATAGAAACAAAGAATCTGTCACTGAGAAAAAAGTGATTTCAACTACTAGGCTGTGGTTTCCACAAGCACAATGAACAGACAAGCCTCTGATCTCTACCACCCAAACAAATGGTGAATGTCTATTTACTCTTCTGATGATCACAGGTTTTTCTGCTACAAGGAGAGTTAAAACCCAAAGGGAGAATTCATTGTATTTGTAGTATAAGAGAGAATGCCATATGTAAAGAGTGGTACGTGAGGTTAGATTCCTGAACGCAGCTTCCTTGGCTGGAATGAAACATACCAAACTTGGCCAACACGAGAGTTGATTCCATGAGGCAACTCGTGCCCCAACAAACATCATTCCATCTTTCCTAGTCTGTGGAATTTGGCTCTGGGGCTTTAGGCTCAGGCTAACCTTATACCCACATCACAACTGAACAAAATCCTAGTACAGCATAAAAAGAAATGGCCTTCCCCAGGGAGGAAAATCAGAATTCCTATCACTCCAGGCGCTTTAGTTACCTTATAATTTCCAGAACACTCCGAGTTACAAGTGAGGACAAATGGATTTGCCCTCTCAGGCAGATTCAGCACTAAGAAACAACCTCAGGAAAGCCAAGGCCAGAGCAATGTGTGAGCGCTCACCTCATGGGATGTGAACGGGACAAGGATGCCAATTCCTCCTGACAAGGTGGTATAGACAAGTGACTCGGAGCCTCCAGGGATCAACGTGGTCTTCTGTAATGACAGCACTGTCTCCCCAACATGGTAGTTCATGATCACCTCTGCCTGCAAGTCAAAAACAGACTAGTAACTATGTGTGCCTTTGGAAGCCTGTTCTGGACTCCCAAGAGCAAGCAGTGCCCCAAAGGCACATTTCACCATCAATTAAAATCCAGAAATTACTAAAATCTAAAAATACTTAAAATTCTGTCATCATTTAAAGTTTAATGCCTCACAAACATGCTGAAGTCAGATCATTTCTCACAAACAATTATAACCTAAAACCTTTTTGTTAAATTATCGAGTCTGCAATAAAAAAATAAAACCACAGAAAACTATAAAAAAAAACCCAGCAATCACTAGGCTTGCCCCTCTAAAAAAGTTGTTTTCACAAGTCCACAGATGCTCTATTAAAGGAGTCCATGGCTATCTATAGCAGAGGAGTAGTGCCCAGGATACACCTCAGACAAGAGCTGCTTAGTACTGGGAATGAACCTTATAATCACCTTCTCTAAGGAACTCACTACTCTCCAAAAAGATTTTTATACTGACTGATAAAATGTCTCAGAAAAATTTCTACTTTACAGAGTCACAAAAACGGATAGTGATTTAGTCACTTGATGTCAAACCCAGCATTCATCCATCACAGGCTATGCATCATCAGCACAGGGATCTCCAAGAAAAAAGGACCATGCACGGGCGAGCGCCAGGCAGTCTGCACTGGGGATAGCTCACTAAAAATTGTTTCTTCAGTGAGGGCAATAGGAAAGGTACTAAGCAGTGCCTTCCCCTGGGCCCTCTCTGCAATCTTACCTTCTGGGAGGCCCCGTTGAGCAAGCCTCGGTCCCACAGGGCTTTGTTTCCTGTGGGATCCTCATCCACTTCATCGTTAGTGTTAGGTGGGAGCCTCACCTACAAGGAAGCAACACAAATCACAGCGCTGGGTCCTGCACCTGCTCACCTAGGTCACCAAGCAACATGTTTGCCCCAGGTGCCTGCGAGCAAGTCTAGGGGCACTTAGGCAGAGGCCTGAGCCCAAGTCTCCTGACTGTTCTGGTGGGTAGGAGCTGTGTCTGAGGAGTGAGAAACTCAAGAAAATCAACTCCTGAGCAAGGGTTTAACACAGCCAAGAGCAAAAACAAAATCACAGAACATAGACAAGAGAAGTCAGGCTGGGCTTAAAAAGATAAGCCGAAGTTCTAGCATGACATGAAAATAAGTATTAGTCATTAGCTCAAACTAAACCTATTATTAAATCATGTTCCATAGGGAAGAGGGAGGTAAACAAAGAGCAAAATCAAGAAGGCTGGAAGAGTGTATTTTTTATAAAGAGTTAGCTTTAGTAAGATTGAATTTTATACCCACTTTTAGTTCCCATATTAGGGATCATAATCCTGGGTCCTTGGCTTTACCCCAAATAATAAACTGCCCAGCTTTCCCACACATCCCTGTAACCCAAGTGAACATCCACTCACCACGCATATGTTGCCGAACTTGTCTGCCCCAGCCACAGTGTCGTAGTCGAGGAGGCTAGCTGTAGTGACCCATCGGGGGTAGGTGTCATCGGCAAAGATGATGAGCTGGTTCTCATTCCGCTTGTAGCGAACCCAGATGAAACTTTCTTGGACGTCAGACACTATTACCCTGTGCCCAATAGTCTGGATCCCAGAGATATAATTGGCGATATGCTAGGAAAACAAGGACAGCAATGGGTGTAACTCTGGAGTTCAGAACCCACAGAAAGTGCAGCTTTCCCTGCCCATGACACATGCGGGTCTATAGAACTGCAGTGAGCAATAGATGCCTAGAAGGTAGGAAAAAGAGCTTAAAGAAACAGGCAGGATAGAAAGCTGATTCTTGGTTTGAAGAAGTCAAGAAACAAGATCCTTCTACTCCTGCTCTTCTCAAGACTCAAGGGCCTAATTCTGAAGCTGAAAATGGGAAAGTACAACACAGCCCCAACAAAGACACATCATTTTAAAAATTAGCGTCCACCACTACACCAATGCCTTCTCCTGTTCCGTTAGCTGGATCCCAGCCCCAGTGTCAGCACATTTACCTTATTCTCACACTTTCGGAGTAACTTCTTCTTCCCCAAGTCATAGACACGCAAAAGCTTTCCCACACCAATCAACACCCTCCCCTGGAATGGGGCAATGGCAGCGGGGACCTCTTCCACTGGCGTCTGTGAGAGGAAAAACAGGTGATGCAGCTATCAGAGCACAGAGCCATGTATCGATTCCACCCCCTCCACCCAGAAACGCCTTCTTCTACAGGACCTGTCAGGAAGACAGCCAGCAAGTGATAAACCTCACATACGGCAGCCGCCACAAAACAGGGTGTTGGGTAAACAGGTCCCACATGCTCCACTTCATCCAGCGAGTGGATCAATGCCACAAGTGAAAAGAAGTCCTGGTACCTGAAGAATGCTGCCCAGAGCCTGTGCTTGGTTAAACTGGTACCATGGAATAACAGTGAAGCCTCGTTTGTGAAGGGATGGGAAAGGAATGAAAGTGATACCTCAGTTGTAAAGGAGACAAATGTTAACACAAAGAAAGGTCCGTGAAGTAATTATTTCCTAAAAGGTATACCCTTTATGGAAGGGCTTTAGGGTAGGAGTCATATTCATGTGCTATTGATGTAGAGAAGAGAATTTTTTTTATTTTAAAAACTGTGGCTACATACATCAAGTTTACCATTTTAATCATTTTTAAGTATACACTTCAGTGGCATTAAGTACATTCAACAGTACATTTACTATTGTGCGACCACCACCATCATCTCCAGAACTTTCCCAAACTGAAACTGTGTACCCATTGAACAGTAACTTCCCAGAGAATATTAATTCTTTAAACTGCTGAATTTTGGTCACGATCTACTGCCTTCTTAATAAGACAACAAACAAGGGGCGATTGATTCCGTGTGCGTCTATCTCGCCATTGTGGGTGGTCAGCACAAAGGCTTCCTGTGGGATTCCCACGCATTGCAGCACCACTTAAGTATGAATGCCCCAGTGTATGCCATGTGCTGCCAGGAGATGGATGAGAATCAAGGAGCTGGTCCCCAGAAGACCTGACCCCTAACTCAAGCAAAAGTGGGAGAATTTGTCGGACCTAAGATCCAGGAGAACAACTGATTCCTACCTTGTGCAAAAACTCCAGTTTTTCCCCATTGTTCACAAGCTTGTAAGTATAGACAAAGCCCCCTGCCACAGATCGGGGGTTCAGTATCAGGTCCTTAGCCACGCCCACCAGCACATACCAGTCTTCCCCAGTGTTGGAGAACCTGCACACGGCCACACTACATACAGAGAAAACAGTAAGAGTCAGGCATTAGTCAAGACCCAGAGAGCTCCTGTCCCAGTCCACCAAAACCTGGATTGTCTTGGGTTCCTTACCTAAAAGCTGCCTCATTCTGCTCCAGCTGGACAAGGTCCAGTGTATTCCCCTGAATGGGATTCATCACCCGGATCACAGAGGCCCACTGCCCGCTGCCAGCCTTGGGAGCTCCAAAAATGGATTCAGGGAGATTTTCATTGAGGAATGCCGCTGCCATCTCTGCAGCCAGCTCCCGCTCATCCTCCCCTGCCGCTTCCACCATTTCCTAAACCCAAACAGCAAAGAATTGAGTTCAGAGGTGGGCGCTGGATGAGAAGTGGATTAAGTAGCAAGAACACTCCAGGGGGAGTTCATGATACATAAAGTAGCAAACTCTGTCATCCAAAACCAGGACTTCCCAAAATGAAGATTAAAGGGAGAGGTGTACAGACAAGAAGTGGAAGATCACTAAAGGGAAAACCAGATATTGCTAGTTACATATCAGTAGAAAATGCCAAAAAGAACATTGGCTTTGGCAAATACTGCACTAGTGGTTTGAGAAACATGAAAATGAAAATGCCATTTTTCTACCTAACCCATCTGATTTCCCTTGCTAAGACTACTTGTCTCCTCTCTTTCAGACTGGATACAGTTCTATATGGTTGTGGCTATTTGGTTTTTGCTGAGAAATGATTTCTGGAAAGAGCTGGTGTTATGCGAACATGAAAGCTGTCTCCTTTGGGCCTGAATCCAGGAAACATATAACACAGTCTATTTCGGAAGCTCAAGGAGTAAAGAACTCTGTTCCAGAGAGGGAGCTGAATTCTGAATAAACCAAGATCAGTGTATTAGTCCTGGGTCACAAGAAAGCCTCTAAATCAAAATAGTTGGCAAAGGATTTTGCTCAAAGGACCTGAAAGATCTTTAAAAATAGCAAAGAATATAATCAACAATTATGGGGATTTAGACTTTCAATACAATTTCACAACTGAACCCTTGAAGGTCAGTCTCATTACCTCTGCCATCTGCTGCTTTCTCTGAGCTTTTGTGGCCTCAGTGTAGGCATTGTGGTCCGTTTCAATGATGATAAGGTTGTTACTCTCAGGGTGGATGACAAATTTCCTGGGCGTGTACTGTAGCGGAAAGGCTACTTGATTGAAGACAGCACCTAGCTTCTCTAATGCCAAAATCCTATGACAAAAGGCAAGGCAGTTAACAGGTCCTCACTGAGGACCTACAAACCAGTGTTGAAATGGACCATGAGCAGTTATAGCAAACACATCAATCCCTGAAGCCCTAATGTTGGCATCAGGCAATGTGAAACAACAGCCTTCTAATCTAGATTCTGCATAGGAGACAATCTGTAGAAAGGCCACCCTCTTCAACAATACCTCACCACTGTTCATGGCAAGAGCCAGACCCCGTCTCTACTAAAAATAGAAAGAAATTAATTGGACAACTAAAAATATATAGAAAAAATTAGCTGGGCATGCCTGTAGTCCCAGCTACTTGGGAGGCTGAGGCAGTAGGATCTCTTGAGCCCTGTCTCTACTATAAATAGAAAGAAATTAGCCAAACAACTAAAAATAGAAAAAATTAGCCAGGCATGGTGGCACATGCCTGTAGTCCCAGCTACTAGGGAGGCTGAGGCAAAAGGATCGCTTGAGCCTGGGAGTTTGAGGTTGCTCTGAGCTAGGCTGACACTACGGCACTCTAGCCCGGGCAACAGAGTGAGACTCTGTCTCAAAAAAAAAAAAAGGTAAAAACCTACAAAGAAAATGAAACAGGAGATGACAGCAGACATGAAATGCCAAATAAAATTTTGCAGGTGGGAAAAAAGTGTGGAGCCAACAACGAATTGAACCCCCAAACCTGAGAAAAGTTTAAGAATTAGAAATACGAAGAGTGCATCTATTTGACAGAGCTGGAGTAGTTACTGTCTGCTGCTAAGTTTCCTACTACAGATGCAAGAAAAAAGTGTTCGTGCACTTTCTAACTGTGGCAGCCAAGATTGAACATAGGGGAAAAACATGGAGAATTTCTGCAATTCAGGAATAACCTTGTCAATAGTGAAGAGCCTGTTTTACTCCAAAGAAAAACCTCAAATTTGAGTTTCTGTGAGAAGTTGTTGAGAAATAGCCTCTACCACCCTCGCCTGGTTGATTACACTTGTAAAAAATTAAAAGCAAGCCAGCAACTCTTTGGTTAAAAAAAAAAAAAAAAAGAAAAAACAGAAAAGAAACACAAGGATCTCAGACTTAAGGTAGGGAATGTGAGTCAAGGAAGGAAAAAAGATAGGCAATATAATTTGCTAAAATGCCAAATATATCCTTTGTCCCAGTAACTCCACTTGTAAGAATTTATCCTACAGATTTATTCGCACACATGTGGGAATGATGTATGTATTAGGTTTTTCACTGCAGCACTGTTAAAAGCAAAACACTGTAAATATCCAAGATAAGACTAGTTTAGTTAAATAAACTATGGTACCATCCGTGTAACAGAAGACTCTGTGGCTATAAAACAGATCATGAATGCCATACAATATTGATATCAAGAGATTTCTGAGACATACTATTAAGTTAGAAAAGCATGGTGTAAAACAGTCTATGCAATATGCTCTCTATGTACAAAGAAAAAGAACATATGTACATATTTACTAGTACATCCATAAAACTCACGTTTAATAAAGATACACAGGAAATTGAGGAGAGAGAAGTGGCTGAAGGATAAGCTTAGAAAAGACCCATCCATTTTAAAAATAAAGGAGCTAAATAACCATGCCCTTCTCTATTCAACAGTTCTCTATTCAATAACCACCAACGGCGCTCTTGAATTAAAGGAAGCAAGGCATTCGGGGTTATCTAAAACTTTACTTCAAATCTATTTTTCCTTCCATCTCTCCATTATGCCCCTCCATGAGGACTAAAAATAATGGTATTACTGTTATTTAATTAAGATAATTCAGGAAAATAGAATTGTTAAAGAATTCTCAAGGAAGTAAGAATAGCTAAAGAGCTATATACCTTTTGTTTTAACAATGGGTATTCTTTCTGAAACTCAACTACCCATTCAGTGGATACACAGACTTTTCTCCTCAGTCCCTCCCACACATAAATATACACTGAGACCTATTCTCTATGGGTCAGGATGCTAAGCTAGGCCTTGAGATGCTCTGGTGAACAAAACAGAAAAGACTTGACCCCAAGGGAACTCACACTTCTATGATTCAACAGCAAACCAGTAATTGTTCTACCTCTCCTAAAATCAAATGGCAATGAAAAGCAAAGACCGAGAGACTTATGTTTTACAAGTGAAAATACATAAGCAAGCAATCTTTTTCAATAAATTCTCCATCACTGTGAGGAAAAAGAGCCAGTATCAGGCAGGGCATGATATCGAGTAATCTGATTTTATATTTGAAGAGTTACCCAGAATGTAGCACAGAGTCAGTGAGACAACAACATGGAGGAGAAAAACAAGGCTGCAAGACATGGACAGATGGAATGAGAAGATTTAACACACACCTAATCAGAACTCCAAAAGGAAAGAAGGGGAGAACAGGAAAACAATGAAAAATTTCCAGAATAAAATAAAATGAACCAACAGATCCAAGAAGCATAACATAAACCAAGTACAATAAAGAAAATTCCCTAAGAACTACAGAAATATCCCCCAAATAAACAGATCACATATAATCTGACCACAGACCTAAAAAAAAAAAAAAAAAAAAGGAAGACAGAAGAAAACCCTTTCAAAGTGCTGGGGGAGAAAAAACACAGCTGAACCAGAATCATATATAAAAAGAGCACAAAATAAAAGTCAAAACATTTTCTGACACGCTATGATTGCTGGTATTCCCATTCCCATGGATATCTAAATTCTGAGTAGTAATTAGCATGTTCCTTTTCTGGAGACACCAATTAAAATATTTTACAAACATCTAACATCTGGGTGATAAAACGAAACATTTAAGTATCAAAAATGGTCATTTTGTAAGAAAAAAATAAGTATAGCATAAAACAAAAACCACAACCACTGACCCTGTGGTTCTCAATCCTCTGGTCTGACCCACACACTGACGTATTTCCATAAAGGCACCTACCATGCCAACAGACGCTAGGCAGAAAGAGCACCTGTCCTCTGGGAGACACGTACAAAAGTGGAGGGCAGATGCTCCCATGCTGTATTCTTTCTTGGAAAATATGAAGTTAACCAGCATTTATAAAAGTGGGGGCATGTGCCATTGGTAATATCCAAGATGACTTCAGGTAGTTCTCAGATGGACTTTTAAAAACGTAATTATCAAAAAAAAATAAAAAACAAAACAAAACTAGCCTTTTGTGTTACAAAGGACACCACTGAGAAAGTAAAAAGACAACCCAAATTGTAAGAAAAAGTATCTGCAAATCATGTATTTCATAGGGAAATTTTATCTTGAACATATAAAGAACTCTTACAACTCAATACTTAAAAATACAATAACTCAATTAAAAAATGGGCAATGGATCTGAATAGAGATTACTCCAAAGAAAAAGGCAATAAACACATTAAAGATGCTTAACATCATCAGCCATCAGAGAAATACTAACCTAAACCACACGACACCACCTCACACCCACTAGGACAGCTAGAATAAAAAAGTCAGATAACAAGTGCTTTCGAGGATGTAGAGAAATTGGAACCATCATATTTGCTAGTGGGAATGGAAAATGGTACAGCGACTTTGAAAAGCAGACTGGCAGTTCTTCATTTAAAAGTTAAACACAAGGTTACCATTTAACGTAACAATTCCACTCTTAAAGGTATATAACAAAAATGAAAACAAGACCACACAAAAACTCATACATGAATATTCACAGCAGTATTAGTCATAAAGCTAAAAAGCAGAACTCATTGGTTCTAACAGTTAAGTACCATAGAGTGGTGTTTAATCAGCTCCCAAGAACTCTGTTTTTATCTGACTCACACAGTGGCCTTCTGTGAATTTAGTTTTGGAGAGAAGTA